GAGAGGGGGGTGGAGGAGAGGGGGGGGAGGAGAGAGAGTGGAGGTGACAGGGGAAAATAAGAGGGGTTGGAGGATGAAAGAGTGTCAGTGACGCCACGTCAGCATCCACCTCGCCTCGCTCCGCCTGCCCCTTCACCCGCTCCTCCTCCTCCTGCACGTCCTCGTCCTCCTCCCCCAATCGCTCCAGCCCCGGGTCGGCCTTGCCACTGCCACCGCTGTTGTACTTTGCGAATGACGCCTTGCCTAGTGTGGGGTATTGGGGGGGAGAAGGTAGGGAGAGGGGAGGAGGGAGGATATTTCTTGAGCACGGGCTATATTCCTTGAGAATGTTTCGTGGTTTGAGAATGGGCTTGCATGGCCTGTGCGCGAGTGCAGGCAGGGTGTGTATGCGCGCCAAGAGTAAGCACACTCACCAGTCCAGAAGGAGGGGTAGAAGAAGTAGAGAATGGGCTTGTGAATGCCATTAGCGTCTGGCAGCACGTTGTCAAAGTAAATTGCGAGGATGAAGAAGAGGAAGAAATCGCCGATCAGCCACACGTAGATGCTCGCCTGGTAACACGGGAGAGGGAGAATGGGAGGAGAGAGGGGATAAGGACAGGTGGGGATGGATGGGGCGGCCTATCGCGTCTGGCAGCACGTTGGCAAAGTAGATGGCGAGGATGAAGAAGATGAAGAGGGATCGCCTATCACATGACTTACGAAGCTACTGGATCACTTGCAATAGCAGCAACTCACCAGAGTGTTGGTGCAGCCTGCATTGCCGAGCGTGCACTTGTTGATCTCGCTCAGACTCACTCCCGGCGACTGCGGCAGCTTGGTAGCGTCAGTCAGGTACTTGAGGGACAGCGTGAGCAGATCCGGAGGGAACAGGCTGAAAATCACCCGCCAGAATCCGGAAAAGTCGTTGGTATAGGGAAACCCGAACATGACCATCAGCTGGAGGACAAACCCCAGGAGGAAGATGAAGAACCCGATGGTGTTGGCGTTGGCGGATTTCCGCATGAACGTCGAGACGAGGAACGCCAGCCCCGTCATCGCCACCCAGAAGAGGAAAAAGACGAGGAACAGCACGACGAAGCTGTTCTTCAGGAAAAACGCGAATTGGAACATCATGCCGAAGCAGATGAGCAGAATGCAGGTGACAAGAGCTACTATCAGCTCCCACACCAGCCAGGTGCTCCAGAAGACTGAGTCCATTAATCCCATAGTAGCCATGGCTTGTCGGAGCTTTAACTCGCGCTCTATGACGAGGTTGGCGGCCTGCGTGACAAAGTTGAACATGGCTGCTGCGAAGAGGAACGTGGGGCCCGCCAGTGGGATGGCTGACAGCGACTGGTACGGCGGATGCGCGAACTCCGAGTAGCTCGGCTGCCACCCTATCGTCCAGTCTGGAGACGGGTGGGGTGGGGTGGGGTGGGGTGGGGTGGAAAGAGCAAGGACAGGGAGATTTGGGTGGGGAAGGGAGCAGGGAGAGCAGGGGGGAGCAGAGCAAGGGATGGCTTGTCGGAGCTTTAACTCGCGCTCTATGACGAGGTTGGCGGCCTGCGTGACGAAGTTGAACATGGCTGCTGCGAAGAGGAACGTGGGTCCCGCCAGTGGGATGGCTGACAGCGACTGGTACGGCGGATGCGCGAACTCCGAGTAGCTCGGCTGCCAGCCTAGCGTCCAGTCTGGAAGAGTGAGAGGAGATGGGTGGGGTGCGGTAGGGGCAAGGACAAGGGGAGAAGGATACAACGGAGTAAGGGATTATTCAAAACGACTGGAACGGCGGATGCGCGAACTCCGAGTAGCTGGGCTGCCAGCCTATCGTCCAGTCTGGAAGAGGGAGGCAAGGGGTGTGTGGAAGGGGCGACATTCAAGGAGGCACCGGGGATGAGAGGGGTCGGTGGAAGAGGCAAGGACAGGGGAAGGAGAAGACGGGAGGAGCATTGGATGGGGTGGGGTGGAAAATGGGGAAGACAGTCGCGGAGGAAATTGGAGGAACAGCTAAGTGGGTGGGAATCGTGAGATGGGTATGTCAACTCCTGATCCGAACATTCTAGGTTCTCAGCACGTGATGCCTCGTGGCATTACCATTGATTACTGTGGTGATTCTCTTCACTGCATCGATTCAATTTCTCCTTGATTGTAACGTCAGAATCCCCATCCTGAGCTGCTCCCCAAACCGGGATACCCGGTTACCACGCACCTTGAGCGATGTATCTCGCGATTTCCCTCTCCGCAGCGGCCTGCAGCGGCACCTGATGGTCGAACGTGGGGTTCTCGAACCGGGTTCCTTTCCTTCCTTAACCTGGTTACTCGGTTACCACGCACCTTGAGCGATATATCTGGCGATTTCCCTCTCCGCGGCGGCCTGCAGCGGCACCTGGTGGTCAAACGTGGGGTTCTCGAACGTCCCGCGCCGCACTTTCGACGTCGAGTTGGTCTGCACGGCAAAACCGAGGTCGCCCTTCTCCGTGAACGCGAAGTGCAGCGCGCCAGCTGTCCGCATCGGATGGGTCAGCAGCCAGTCGTCCACGTCGCTCGGATTCGCGAATCCGATGATCTGAGGAGTTGAATTCGATCGAAGAAAGAGAGAGCGATTATTGGAGTAAAAAGGTTGGAGATCAAGGTTAGAACGTCAGGGGTGAGAGGTGAGGGCATACGTGATATGAGGAGAAGGGGCGCATGGGAGGGAGAGGAAGGTGAGTGGCGGGAGATTTGGTATCATTTGCCTTCAGGAGAGTCACTCGGAATGGTGTTCGCGAAAATGCAGCCTGCACGGGTGGTGTGTGCCTGCTAGGCTAGGATACCGTGTGTGTGCCTCTCCTGAGTGCTCTTAAACAGGCGAGACGCTTTTTGAAAGGCCTTAGAAACTGTTCATTTTACGAGAGGAGGTTGGAAACTAAAACCGAACGTGTAACCGGGATACCGTCTGAATTTGCTGTTAGTGACGTACCCTGGATGAGTTGATCGGACGGCCGGGATTGTTCGCGGAGATGTTCTGAACGAGAGACGTGATGATCTTGCTGTTGTTCCCGCTCCACAGAAAGTCGTAGCACGGCTTGAGAATGTTAAACGCGTTCTCGCACGCCATGATTGGCTGGACCTCCACGACGTTTGGATTCGGCGTGTCTCGGAACTCCGTGTAATTAGTCAAAGCGGCTTTCACGGAAACGTCCACTAGGAAGATCAGGAGGATGAAGAAGAAGGACGAGCAGAGCTGCAGGAACGTCGCGGTTCGGTTGCGCCACGCTAGCAGCGCGTTCTTAATCATGAGGGCTTTAAATTGCTGGAAGAAGAGCTTCATGCCTCGCACTCTAACGGGGATAGCAGGTCCGACATTACCGGGGTCTGGACCTAAAACTTCCCCTTCATTTCCATTGGTACTCATGACGTCGAGACTCTTGCGAGCTAGTATCCTCGCAATCCAAGTTTCTCGCAAAATGAGCTGCTAAGGTTGCTTTCGCTTTGTAACTAGGAAAAGGAAGGACAGGCAGTCCCTCGCGAGCTAGGATTCTCAAGTAGTTGCGTAATTAACTAAATGCAGGATCCTTCGTCGTTTCGTTCGATTTTGGCTATAGAAGCGAACTGTCGCTTCAAAGGCTCTGGCTACTAGGTTGCTGAATCACTGTCGATTATGGCCCTGGTTCCTCCTCACATAAACGCTGAGAGAGCAGACACAGAGATTTGTTAGATACGAGCTACCTCGACTTACCACCGAACTCAGGTAGCTGGAAAGAAAGCTCGGCTCGGCACCGTCAGGCTGGTGCCACGGATTCCTTGGGGCTACGAGGCTGCTGCAGCTTCCTATTAGCGAAAGCGATGATGAAGTAGAGCGACAGAATCTGCAGCTACTGTACCCGAGCCTACGACGACGCGGTCGTCTCAACAGTGCGGGAATTTCCAGGCAAACGGTCGCCTTTCTTCCTTCGCAGCGTCGCTTGCTTTCCTGCGATGTCGTCCCTTTGCGACGCTCGACGAAACCGGGGCCTGATGGCGCCGCGAGACCTCAGAGATTCCCGTTCCGCGTGGGGGGTACGCTCAAATAATTTTCCCCTCTCCGCCCAGCAGATTCTCCACCCCTCCGCCCTAACATGCCTTTCACGCAGCGCAAATTCGACGTACGCCGTACAGTTCGGAATCAAGCGTACGACAAACATGAAACGCATGGGAGAGGCTAGCGGGGAATTCATGAGGTGGGGGGTTCTTCGCGCGGAGAGTTCGGTGTTGGCGCAAAAGTCGGATCGCAAGCCCATCTATCAAGGAATGCGGTGTTGTAGGCCAGCTGTGGCACCGCCAGCCACATCCATAGGCTCGGCTGCCCTACGCTTGGACACCACGCGTCTCAAAAACGGTCACTGGTTCCCTGGACGAGTGGGTTGTCCGCGACATTGTCATGAACAATTTTACCGTGTAAACAGCACCCTTCCCCAAACAGATTTTATAATCACAATATTGGAAACATTTGTAGCACTTGCCTAAACATCTCTTCTGTATTACCCTACTTTCTTCATCTAAAGGGCATAACATATGCATTAATGTCAAAATCATCGCATTCAGGACTGCAGTATAACGCAGAGAATAAATACATCTTGTTACATGGCACAACACAAGCATATCGTTCCACCCATAGCATACAATAAATCATCCAAGCACGCACCCTTTCGATACTGGATCCCATATAGTTTGTACTGTGTACTGTACGCTTGCTATACCAACCAGGTTGTTTACAAACCCGTCGTTTTCCACCAACCTACCCCACTCATTTTCACAAATGTCCTTGGTCTCTAAGGGCCCGTTTGCATCGCTCCTTGCATATGTCCACCCATCTTTTTCTGGATTGGTGGCAAAGCTAGCAAGCTCCCTTGCGATAACATTCACTGCAGCATCTTCATAAATGTTGCCATTTGGAGAGCTCCTGATTTGGGAAAAAGAGGGAAGAGGGAGGGTGCAAAACAACACGTATGAGCCTCGTCACTTCCGATGCCAACTCGGAGCGAAAAAGGCATGTGTGGAACTTACGGGTGGCCAAAGAGGTGAGCACACTTCTCCGGGCATTTGCTAGCGTCGCCAATAACCACATATCGAATGCTGGTAGTGGAGCCATCCCATGCGGTGAAGTTCATGTGCTGCCGCAGTGAGCACCAGTCGTCGCACATGTATGTGTTTTCGTACGGCGCTGCTAGTGCGACATCGGGGGATGCGAGGATGAAGTAGATGGCCGTGTCGTCCACGGGAAGCATGGCACCATCTCCCAACGCGTTGTTCAGAACTGGGTAATTCGGGAACACGAGGGACAGAGAAAGCGAGTAACGTGCGGGGGTGAGGCGAGGATGCAAGTGTGACATTGGGGGATGCGAGGATGAAGTAGATGGCCGTGTCGTCCACGGGAAGCAAGCCACCATCGCTCAACGCGTCGTTGAGAACTGGGTTCGGTTGGGAGCATGAGGACGAGAGAAGGAAGCAAGTGAGGATGCCAGTGAGATGCTGGAGTTAGAATGGCTGTGTTATCAGCTGGAAACAATGTGACTCAAGGATGAACGAAGGGAAAATCGGTTGCACAAACAGATACATAGATATAGATAGTCCAAAAACTTCACCTCTGCCATCTAATGAAGGCAGACACAAGGTAAAACCGAACAAGCCCTACCCGTTTCAACTGAAGCTTCACAGCCGGTCAGATCGCTTCCGGCTGAGTAGTTGTCTCTCCCTGACCCGGCCAAAATAACCTGTTAGTAGCACCACAGGGTGACATCTTGTACCACATGAAATGAGAGACAAAGAGCCCTGACATAAAGAGCTGGTGTTCACTATGAAACATCAGTGAACGAGAAAACCAGCCTCCCAACGAGCTTAAGGCACCAATTAGCGCACCTGGTCTGTCACGTTGACAATGAACCCAGGGTTGCTCTCGTCCCGCCCCGTGTACCGACCCACCACCCTCCACCATCTTCGCACAGATGCCACCTGCCCAGATGACACCTCCTCTTCCTCCCCTGGGGCTTCAGTCACCATGTCAGAAAAGGCGTCGGTTTCGCCGTAATTCTCTGACTCGTCCGGGTCCTGGCTTAGAGAATTGATGAAGTTTTCTATAGTGAAGGATGGGGACTCCCACGCGCCGTAGTACAGTATGTACGCGTTAATGGGCTCGTGATTCACCGGCCCGCCACCGTACGTCAGCTCCACCCAGCCCGGAGGCCTTTCCTTCGGGGGAGGGGGAGGGGGAGTCCCAGGTTCGGAAGCTCCGCCATTCGAACCTCCGCTGTTGCCTTGAGAACCGCCAGAAGGGCTGGAATTAGAGAGGTCCGGACCGTCAGGGGGAAAATAATATGGGTCGTCCACAGGTAGGAAGGCGCCCAGCGATTCCCCCCCTTCCGACGCGGGCGCGGATGCGGAGGCGGAAGGGGATGGCGCAGGCGCGGGGGCGAATGAAGGCCCGAGAGGCGCAAGAGTGGCGGTGATATAGGAGTCTCCTCGGCGCCGAGGCTGAATGGAGAAATCCTGGGAGGTTAGCGCAGGGGAGGGCGGGGGAGTCGAGGGGGAAGCAGGGGGAAGCGGCGGAGGCGGGGAGGGCAGCGAAGGGGATAGTGGGGGAGGATTGGGGGGACTGCGGACGGAGGGGGTTGGGGGTGGCGGAGACGCGATAGGGAGGGGAAAGGCTCGCGCAACCGGTGGGGAGGGCGGCGGAAGGGGAGGGGGAGGTGGGGAGGGCGGAGGAGGTCGTGGCGGAGGGGGAGAGGGGGATGGGGACGAACGGCCCTCGAGGATCGTCAGGAGGGCTTTAAGCGACGGGAGTAGAGGCAGGCCGCCGAGACCGCGTCCTCTTAAAGCCCGTCCAGGCGACACCAGGTGATGCATGGTAGCAGTAATCGCGTCGCCCGAGTGACGGCTCTGCTTCTGTGACAACGCTTGCTCGTATGACTCAAGCCGTGGTGTTCGGGCCGTACAGAGGAGGGGTGCTAATGCTATGGCTGCTATTAGTAAAATCGCACATGGTACAGGTGTAGAGGGTATTAGTGCGACGGGCATCAGGCGCTTGGTCCGACGAGTCGTCATTATGGCGAATGGACCACGGGAAATGAGTCATTCTCCCGTTACGCTGCTTATCAAGCTTTCCGAGGTGCATTTTTCCAGGCGATGTCATCTCCCTGATCACGCAACCCCGGTAATGCTAGGCGCTAGGTCGAATCTCGACGACGTCGCTACCCTGGCGAAGGGTCTGTGCGTGCTAGTAGTTGGAACTAGTACAGCGATAGCGTCGACAAACCACAGTCGGTGATACGCAAGTCTCTCCTCCTCAGGAGTCGATAAGCCCCAAAATATCAGTACCTGCCAGGACTGGCGGTTTCAAGCTGTTCATTAGCAACCGCTAAAGACCTGCTGGGTTTGTCTGCAAGAATGCTGATTATTCCTCGGGTTAGTTGCGGAGTTTGCTGCTCTGGTTTGGTTTCTCAACGTTCAGTTTCCGTTATTGGGTTCTGCTGAGAAAATGGTTTGGAAAAAATGGTTCAGCTGGACATTTCGAGTCGCGAGCAGGTGAAGTTTGGGATACTTTGAGCTTGCTCGTCATTGGATCTTGATCACTTTCAGGTCATCGACGGTTCGCAGCGAGAGAATTGAGGTCCACGGACCGCATATCCGTGAGTGGCCTCCTGAACTCACTCAAATGTGACGTTTCACCTCCCACAAGCAGAGATATGCGCTATGTGAAACTCGATATTGATTTCAGCAATTGATTACCTTCCTTCTAGTTCTGTTATACAGATTTTCACCCATGCTTCGCTCATATTCTGCTGCGCAAATGTTAAACACAACCGTTTTCAACTGTGACGTCAATTCTAACGAACAAGCCAGGAACGAAGAACGCACGGCCCAACCTGCTTCCTAGGTGTGGTGCGGCCCTCCTAGGTCGGTCGGTCAAATTTCGCCACGCCCAGGCGGACTGCTCGTGTTAGAAAAGACCGTTGCTTCGAGCGCACTGTGGCTTGGGGGGAAGGGAGAATGTGTCCCCCCCGTGGCGCTTCCCGCCCGCCCTGAGCGCCAGAAATTGGCGTGCATATGGGTGTCATTGACAGGTGTGCGGTGAGGCTAGGCCACCTAGTTGCGCCAAGTTTCCTGTACCGTCGGGTCATCTCACATTCTCGTACGGCATGATCTACGCTGGTTCGGGGGGAAGGATCACCACCATGCAGTGTAGCGTACTGTTTCAGAATTGACATGACGGGACATCGGAGCAAGCACAGCGTTCCCTGAACACTTTTTTCAAGCGAAAGTAGGCGACTGAGCTAACGACAGAGCAGCGAAGAGTCGGTGCGGCTAGCTGGCGACGACAAATACGGACGAGCCCCCTCATCTCCACACATCCCCAGCCCCCCGCTTTCACCTCCGAACCAGATTGCCCCATACTCGTTTCATCTTCCCTCAGGCCTCGGGAAGCACAACCCCTTCATTCCAGGAAAACGCGTTGACATGTAACGCACAGCGGAACGCAAGCGGAAGTGTTTGCCGAATCCGCAGCTCCTTCCCCCAGCTTCGGGAACCGAACTGCCGTATCGTGTCATCTCTCGTCTCAGCTTGATTGACACCCTGCTTCCGCGCAGTTCCCTCCACCTCCGTTTCGCTGTTGCCTCTCACCGCTGCCATTTACGACCCTCACCTCTCTGGGCTTCGAAAACATCTCGAATTTGCTCAACTCTGTTCTGCCACCCAGCTTTCAACTTCAGTTTATACAACACTTGTTAGCAGTTCCTCCCAGTTATAGTCTGGACTCGAGCTGCTTCTTCAGCCGTTCCTAAGAATTCGTAGAACTTTGGAAACGTGAGTGCAGCCGTTAAATTAATACCTAAGGCTGCAACCGCAAGCTCCATTTAAGGCTTCGCTTTCACGTTTATACCGTAGGAGCTTAGAAACGCGAAGATCGTCCCAAGAAAGATTGTGTCCTGCTTGACCGACGCTTATCCGCCGGTGAAACAAGCGTAGATCGTATCATGGAGGAAGGTAGCGTAAATACTGAGACGGGGCTGTTTATGAAGGAGGGAGGGTATGCGGACAAAACGACACAACAGCGGCGGAGGAAACTAGCGACAACCTTTGGGACGCAAGTCGACGCTATCATGCGGAGAAATCTCGCTTATCAGGTACGCGCGATCTCTAATCATGAAGCCTGCATGTGGACACTGCTATCTGTAAAGCCTGATGCAGCGCAGAAATGCACGCGAGGAAGGCTTATGTGTGTCGAGTGCCTTCTATTGAAGGGAAATGTCGCTTGCAAAATGCAGGGACTTTCGGAACTGGGCCGGTAAGTTCGACAGAATTGCTGGGGGTTCACAGTTAAGGCAATGAATTCGACCAAATGCTACGCGCACAGACCATAGCACTTTGGCGTATTTTTAGTTCATGGATCATGCCGGCTATTTTCTTCATAATAGGGATGATGCAGAATTAGCGGATCGTCATAGATTCCAGCTCGTGAAACCCTGCTTGGTCATGTAGGTGTTCTTTCATGTCATGCACAGACGTCGTAGGATGCGTTCCATGGCTTTTCACAGCGTTGTTCCTCGAATGTTTCGTTTACTTAGCGTTTCAGGTTTTTTTATTTTCGTTTCTTTGGCGCACGCAAAATCGATCCATGTAGCGTCAAGTTACGTCGGTCGCGCTGCTTTTCGTGGTTGTTCGTTCCACGGAAACGAAAATGGTGCAGCAATTGTGCGTCGTGAGTTGAAACGTTTCACAAAGCAACAACCTCTGCATTTCATCTTCCCCTTCTAATCCCACAGAAACGCAGCAACCTGTGTGTGGTGAGCCTGCCGGCCTTCATGTGCATCTTCCTCATCCTCATCCAACTCACAAACCACCCACCGCTGCATTTCTTCCCCCCTTTCCCTCTCCCCGCCAATTCCCCCTCCTGTATCCCGCAGAAACGCAACTGGGGCAGCAACCTGTGTGTGGTGAGCCTGCCGGCCTTCATGTGCCTCTTCCTCTTCCTCATCCAACTCCTCATCACCAACGTTCTCAACGCGCGCTTCAAGTGCGGCTGTGGCTGCCCCACCGAGTTCAAAAACTCCGACGGCTCCTGCCAGCCTGGGAAAAAAGTCTGCGGCCCTCAGTATACGGACAAGCTCGGGCAGATTGCGTTTTGCGAGTTCCCGCATCCGCCATCCTGGCCGGCGTTTCTGCAGGTGCCGCCCGAGAATTTCCGGGCGGCGGACACGGGGTCGGGCGGCGGCCTGCCGCCCAGCAGCTGCCGGGTGAAGCCGGCGAATTTCTCGATTGATCAGTCGACGAGCATGGAGGGCAACGGAACGTACCCGTGCTTTAACTCGGTCCTATACACCGGGCAGAACAAGCGGATTGCTGACAGTGAGTGGCTGGATTGTTGGGGTGGGATGGGTGTGTGGGTAGGGAGAATGGGGAATGTGGGGGAGTGGGGAAAAGAGGGGGCAACGGAACGTACCCGTGTTTTAACTCGGTCCTATACACCGGGCAGAACAAGCGGATTGCTGACAGTGAGTGGCTGGATTGCTGGGGTGGGATGGGTGTGCGGGTAGGAAGAGTGGGGAAGGTGGGGGAGTGGGGAAAAGAGAGGGTAACGGGACGTATCCGTGCTTCAACTCGGTCTTATATACGGGCCAGAACCACCGTATCCGTGCTGACAGTAAGTGTTGCTGGGGCGGACTAGACAATAAGTCTTAATGAGTGAGAGAGAAGAGGGAAGAGAAGGGGGTTCAGTGGGATTGAGGCCTTTTCGTGCTTCAACTTGGTGCCTTCTACGGCGCATAGCTGGTAGATGTTAGGAAGAGGAAATGGCGCACGTTTGCAAAAGTCCCCTCCATTCCTCCCTCCTCTCCCCCTCTCCCACTCTCCCCAAACTCGCCCATCCCCTCACCTCCTGCAGGTATCGGCTCCAAGCTCATTCCAGACGTCCCTCTCTTCTCCCTCCAAACCGCCAAGAAGAAGCAGAGCGTCATGCTATACCTCACCGATCCTCCCTTCAACCAAACCTCGCCGCCAGCCTCGGCAGCAGCAGCAGCAGCAGGTCCGGGAGCGAGGAGAGGCCTGAGGAGGGTCGAAGAGGTGCTTCCAGCAAACGTGGTGCGGCGAGTGATTCAGGAGGCGAGCAAATGGGAAACCGCCACACGCACGGGTTGCGGCGGTGCCACTGTTAATTCCGCTAAGGAGGGAAACCCCCGTAGGGTACTGCAGCAATCGGGTAACTGGGAGACAGACACAGGCTCGGGCGGCGGTAGCTTCGGCAGCGGCGGCGGCGGGGCGGGCGGCAGTGGTCTGGGAGGTATGGCGGGCGGGTTCGGCAACATGACCAGCGCAACCGGGCCGAACGCGACGAATTTCGGCGTTTTCAACTTCACCAACACCTCATACATGATCCCTGCGATCACCTACGACATGGCATATGTCCCCCCCGGATCGAGTACCATGAGGGGGTGGTCGCTGTATACAGAGGAGGCGCTGGTTGGGTCGGCGACGACGGGGAAAGTGAGGAACGTGACGATTTATCTGATTCAGCCCAGCTGCGCGAAATACAGCCTGCTGCCCCAGAGCTCTAATCTCGCCTTCTCCGGCTTCAACATGACCATCCGTGAGTGGGGAGGGGGTTCAGGGTTGATGGGTTGGGCTAGCCTTGGGCTCGCCGTGTATGCTGGTGGAGATGGTGTGTGCGTAGCGGTAGCGAGTAGTGTAAAGTACGGCCTGTTGCCGCAGAGCTCTAATCTCGCCTTCTCCCGGCTTCAACATGACCATCCGTGAGTGCCGCTTGGGTGGGCGGGTGGGGGTTGGGGTGTAGGGTTGATTGGTTAGGCTTAGGGCAACCCCCCCCCCCCCCCCCCCCCTGTGCTCCTCTCATTCACCCACATTCCCCCATTCTCCCCCTGTGCCCTCCCCCTGCCACCTCCCTTTGCCCCCTCCCTCCTCCCTGCAGGCATTGAGTGTCTGGTCACGCTCTCCCTGTGGCGCCCCAACACATCAAACATAAACGACGACCTCTATAAGGGGTACTACCAGGGCAACCCCTC